TGTGCTTCGCATCTCCACCTCAGACATTCAACCTGATTTTGATGCACTCGTTAAAGCCCAGGAGAGACTAGATTTCTCTCACTGAACAAGAAAAAACAACTTAAAAATGTAAGAAGTTTTAAATGATGTTTTGATGGTTGAGTTGTGCATGATTTTAATTGTATTGTGGTTATTTTTATTTGCACATGTTGTGTGTTTTTATGATGTTGTTTTAGGGATTTATTGCCATTCCCATTGTTTGGGAAATTCGCTTGAATAAATTACATTTTTTTGGAAGGCAACCTCATGTTTTCATTGCTTAATTATAACATATACTCTTACCAGCTTGTCAAAACAATGCTATTTACAGATTTTATAAAGAAATAGAGTTAATATTATGCAGAATTGAGATCAGCCTTTTGGCCGGCCCTCCACAATATTTTCTGTTTCTCATGTGGCCCCATGGAAAAAATAATTGCCCACCCCTGCTCTAGAGCCTGTCTTGTGTGGGATTTCTCCTTCTGCCTGGCTTCTGAGCTAGTGGGGACGCGGTCTGCTCTGTGATACAGAGTCCTGATGACTCCTAACTTGTGCTCCAAAGGGTGATGGGAGTCAAACTGCAAATACTGGTCTGTGTGGGTGGGTTTGCGGTACACCTCAGTTTGCAAATGTCCTCTATCAGAGACTGAGACCTCACAGTCCAAGAAAGCCAACTTGCCATTTTTTTCATCTTCTCGTGTGAACTTGATGTATTTATCCACAGAGTTGATGTGGTCAGTAAAATGTTGGACTTCCTGAGATTTAATTTTAACCCATGTGTCGTCAACATACCTGAACCAATGACTTGGTGGTGTCCCTGAAAAGGACGTCAAGGCTCTCTTTTCTACCTCCTCCATGTACAGGTTGGCAACAATAGGAGAAACTGGAGACCCCATAGCACACCCAAGTTTCACCCCTTAGCATTTCTCCTCCTGTGTTCCAACGCTGTCGCACCTGTGTCTGATCCTAATCACCGCAGGTGCCTTTCATTTCACCTTGTTAGTGTCAGTATATATTCAGCCCCTTGGTGTCTTGTCAGTGTCTCTGAATTGTCCTTGTCATGCCCAAGGCTTCATGTTTTCGAAATCCCTCCGTGTCGCCCCTTTAAAGTAAGTCTGCTGCCCCGACAGCTATTTGTTTTGTTTATTCATATTAAACATTTTACTTATTTTACTGGAGTTTCCTCATCTTCCTGCTTGTGGGTTCCACACACGGAAGCAATCATGATTGAATCCAGAGACCAAAGAGAACCCAGCAGGAAGATAACTCTTTTCGAGCTCCTGGCCCGCGAGGCAGAGAAGACTGCTCTACGTGAGGAGGAAGAGAGGAAAAAGACTTTGTACCAAGGTACGCGCCTGTCTTTTAAACCTGTGTCTTTTGCCTCACCACCTCGCCTTTCTTCACCTCCTCATAAAGTTGCAGCTCCTCGCAACCCACCTCCTCTCCAACCACCTCCTGCTATTCCGGAGTGGTCTTCAAAGGGAGGGGGACAACTCGCTCAGACTCGCCGCAGGAGGAACGGGTGGCAGAACTGAGCCGGCTCCACCGAACTCCAGCACATCCCTCCTCAGACGCAGCCAAGTCCTTGCCCGTGCATATCCTTTCGTGGGGGGAGGACGTTGCATCTTTCGCTGGCAGAGAGGAGACCACACACCCCTGCACACCTGTCGCTTGAGGGGAGGATGTCGTATGCCCCTGTGTATCTGTCGCTGGGAGGGGAGGATGCCGCATGCTCCTGCGCACCTGTCGCTGGGGGGAGGAACCCTGCAGCCCCAGCAATCTCTGGAAGAGGATGATCGCAATGGAAGACTTCATCTCCAGGTACACCGGGGCTGACAACAACAACTTGCCGAAGATGTGGCAGCAGTTCCAGCAGGCGTGGATGGAGAGGCGCGTGCTACACTCACTTCTGCTGGTTGTTGCTCAGCCTGGTTCTCCTCCCAGCTCACCTCCAGCTGATCTCTCTCCCTCACCATCAGCTGCATCCGGTCCGGGTCCCACGCCAGCTGCTCCTGCCTGGCTTTCCATGCCAGCAGCATCAGCACTGGACTCACTGGTCTCTGCACCAGCCCTGGACCCGCTGGTCTCCGCACCAACCCTGGACCCGCTGGTCTCCGCACCAACCTTGGACCCGCTGGTCTCTGCACCAGCTCCTGCCTCGCTGGGTCCTGCACCAGCTCCTGCCTCGCTGGGTCCCGCACCAGCTCCTGCCTCGCAGGGTCCCGCACCAGCTCCTGCCTCGCAGGGTCCCGCACCAGCTCCTGCCTGGCTGTATCCCGCTCCTGCCTCACTGGGTCCTGCACCAGCTCCTCACATGCTGGTTTCTGCCTCAGTGCTTGCTATATGTACTGCGATATATTGAGTATATATTCAATATATCCCCCAGCCCTATGTGTAACACTTAAGGCTCCAGTATACTCGCGCGTCCTGTCAGCCGTGCGGAAACTGTGCACACTTTCCGCAGAGGGTTGAGACCTCATACTCGAGCGTCCACCCTGAGCAGCTGCAGAACAGCTCCGCAGACAAGACGCATTTACTTTTGGGACAAATTGAGGTCGCCGATTGATCATTTGCTGACACGCCTACTGGATTGATTGACAGGTCAAAAAAAAAAAAAAAGCTGGCAGCCTCAGCCGCAGATGTGTTCTATGTTTATATGTTGTTAATAAAAAGTTCTTAAAAAAAACAGGGAGCGCTGGCCCTGCAGTCCACACATCAGACCAGCCCACCAGAAAATCTCCAGACTCTCCCACAGCCATGCTGGACCTGAGTTTAATTCTCTCATGACAAATTCCTTCATTCCTCACCATTTCAGTCATGGTGTCAACTGAGGAGGAGGAAGAGATCGCTTGTCTTTTGGCAAAAAACAAAAGAAAAGGAAAGAAGAAGGGGAATTTAATACATTGGTGTTGCATACAAAACAGTCCGTCGCTGGGCAGTTTATTGTGCGACACGAGTACGTGTACAAGGTCGTAAAAATTGAGCTTTGCGTGGACATGCCATGTGGGCGTCTGTATCAACTAATTCATTCATTCAAATTTTATGTAGACAGGTAAATCCAAATGAGCCTCGAGGACTCATTTACAAGAGAGACCTGATCCGGTACACGCAGACCTCCGCAGACTGACAAACCCGGTAGTATACTGGGGGCTTTAGAGTTTAGGTCAGAAGGATGTTAATAATTTAATCAAAGTAGCTTGAGGAAGGGGTCAGCACAGTGGTGCAGTTGGTAGAACTGTTGCCCCTCAGCAAGCAGGTAGGCAGTTCAAATTCCAGCGAGGGGCCTTTCTGTGTGGAGTTTGCATGTTCTCTCCGTGCATGCATGGGTTTTCTCCAGGTACTCCAGTTTCCTCCCACAGATCAAAAACATGCATGTTAGACTGACTGATAACTAAATTGTCCCTAGGTGAGAGTGAGAGAGTGAATGGTTGTTTGTCTCTATGTGTCCCTGTGATGGGCTGGAGACATGTCCAGGGTGTCTCCCGCCTCTTGCACAGTGACTGCTGGACATGGACACCAGTGACCCACGCGATCCCAAAAGGAAGAAACGGGTAAAGATGGATGGTTTGAGGAAGGGTCAGAGTAGAAGTGAAATATTTCATCAGCCTCAAGTTCAATGAAAAGCAAAAACATTGTTGTCATCAGCAGCAGATGGCTGTGCGTCCAGCTGTCTCTCTGTCCATCTGAGTGACTCCAGAGGCTGACCGGACCTCAACAGAAGCACAGAGGGGTGGCAGGTTTACTGATAGGGAGTGGGTGCAGCTTTGAGGGGTCTGAGCGGAACACAGCATTTATTATTAAACTGATCTCTGAATTATAAAGCTGATAAACTAAACAACCGAGAGCTTTAGTTTCAGAAAACAACAACCAAATAAACTCAAGAATGCAAGTTTATTCCAAACGTACTTTATTTGTCACAGACTGTGGACAGAAAGTTTTATAGACAACAGTTAGAGCTTCTGGAATAATGACATCAATCAAAAGCCAGACAACAGGAAGTTAGTCATGTCTTTATGTTAACACATGTTCTCAGCGATCCTCTGAGTAATACTGACTGACGACAAACACATGATCTTCATCTGACCTGGGGAGCAGCTGGGGGGGGTCGAGGGCCCAGAGTAGGGCAAATGAGGGAAAGACCAATGTGGGTGTTTCCCCTTTCATGTTTGGTGGCACTAACATGTCAGTCCAGACCAAAACCTCTGGGGAACGTTTGCAACATCTTGTTGAGTCGAGGGCTTTAGCAATTAAGAGTGAAGGCAGAGGGGGTCCTACCTGGTGTTAGCAGGGTGCTCCTAATCCAGTGGTCGGTGAGTGTGTTAGCATAATAAGTGACGTATTCACAGTATAAATGAAGCTGTCCACATTCGTCTCACTCCATAAACTCCACTGAACATTTAGAGAAACATCAGTTTACAGAATCAGCTCCAGCAGCTTTACTAAACTTCAACTTTAAATGTAAAACCTGTGCGGGGCCGACCTGAAGCTCTACATTTACATTTCACCTGCGGATGGATCACCCTTTAATAAACTTAATTGAGCTGGAACCAGTTTTTGCACAGAAAGCTTAGAAACATCGTTAGTTAGAACACATAAAGGTTCAATCAGGTCATCTGGACAGTTTCTTTTTGGGAGAAATGTTTCGTCTGTCATCTGAAAGACTTCATCAGGCCTGCCAACCCACAACTGTCATATAAATATACACCTCCCTGATGTGTTTCAAGCCAGCCCTCTGGAGTTCCCAGAAACTGCCTTTACACATGCAGAAATCATGTAAAACAATCAATCATCAGGTAGAACAATCAAATGTTTTAGGCCTTATGGGTGACAGCTACTCACAGAAACAGCCTGAGGACGCACATTGAAACACGTCAAGGAGGTGCTATTTATACGACAGATCTTGTTGGCAGGCCTCAGACTGATGAAGTTTTCTGATAAAAGACGAAACATTTCTCCCAAAAAGAAACTGTCCAGATGACACGATTTAACCTTTTTTAGTGACTTATCTACCTGGATGATTGAGCTTACAAACCTTTTCCTTTAGGTACAACATCTATTGAACAATGAAAGTTCAAAATGTTCCTTTACCTCCAATGAACAATTCTTCTACATCTGGCCAGCTTCATGGGTCATGTTCTGTTGACAGAAGGAGTTCACTGATCGAGAAGCGAGTGGATAGTTTTAGTTCTGATTCTCTGCAGCGGATTGAACAGAAGGAAATAATCTGGTCACATGCAGGCACTAAATCATCCCGCATCGTTCCAGTCCTGTTTAGAATAACATGGTTCTGGTCCAGTTTCAGATCAGCACAAACCATTCTTCATTACAGTTAGTTAAATCACATGCAGGCTGACAGCTTCAGGTGACCTTTCCTTCTTTTGACCACTTGTGTGTCTGTGAAACAGGAAATGACACAATGTTGGCACACGAGCACCCAAGCATTCAGTTTTCATGGAGCTGTTTCTATAAACAACCTCTGGTTTAGTTCTACTACAGAATCTCAGTCAAATCCCCATGCCCTTCAAAAATAAGGTAAAATTTGATGCAGGCAGCATCTGTGTCGGGGAACTGTTCTGTGTTCTGTTGTCATCGTTTTGTTAAAACGCTCGATTAGACAAGATTTAAATAAACAATATTTAAAATTTGTGTTGGAATCAAAAGTGTAGCCACAACCTGGACCTGCTGGCCTCTATCCTGCCTGGTTTCTCCTGGGTCTCCTCAGACAATAGAACGGTTGTTAAACTAAACATGTTCTCCTTAAAGCTGTGGACCTTTAAGCTCAGCTTGAGTCCAACTCATCTGTACAAGAAGCCAAAACTAAAAAAAAAACTGACTTCAGTCTCATGTTGTCATGTTTCCATTTACATGTCAAAATATTCAGATAGAACTTCATCACTCAGAAATTCAATAAAAAAAAATCTGCCTAAATTCTTCATGGCTTCTTTTTATCATAACTATTTGAAACTGGCTTCTATGAAAAAACATTTTTCCACAGCTCAAAAACTCCTTGAATGAAATTCCCAACATTCAATTAAGATTTTCCTTCACTTCACGACGGGTTTAACGGTGCAGACATCAGATTTAATTTCACCGGACAAAGTCCTGCTGACTGAGACGCCCCCCGGTTTCAAGTTCTACACCAACAAACACGCTACTGGAACATGAACCCAGGCTGAGTCTTCCTGCTGACACCTGAAGCTCTTTGTCACTGTGAGCTAAGGTGCGATGATTTGAACCTGCTGTCTGCTGACTGGAGGGGCGGTCAATTAGATGGTGTGTTAGATTTACGGATATGATGGGCCGTCAGTCGGGACTCCATCATCACGTCAGTGCACGTGTGCCAACATGAATCAAAATATCAAATGAGTTCAGAAACATTTTCTGAATAAAAAAACGACAATTTGTTAAACAACCTCTGCTCTGAAAGGTTGCACAGGTCATAGGACAAACACCAGGTACCTTCTCTGGCTAAGGAGATGACCACAGCTGGCTGTGTGGTCCTTCAAAAAGAATGTCTGTGGGATTGATCAGCATGCTTTCCTACATCTCTCTCCCCACCCTCACACCACCTTCTCTGAACCAACTCTCCTCCCTGTCGCTCTGGTCAGCTTCTATTTGTTCTGGGCCAGAACATTGTTGAAGATGTTCAGGAAGATGTGGGCGTGGTACTCCTTAAAGATGAGTGCTGGACGGAACCGGATTGATGAGTCTCCACATCCTCCCAGGAGCACACCTGTGGGCGACAAACACCATTAGTGCACACACTCACTCAGCACTCTGGTTGTACTCAAATTCAGGTTTAACTCTACTTAAGACTTAGCACTAAAAAGTTCAGGTTTAACTCTACTTAAGGCTTAGCCCTATTAAGTTCCGATTTAACTCTATTCAAGGCGTAATACTATTAAGTTCAGGATTAACTGTATTTAAGGATTAGAACTATTAACTTCAGGTTTAACTCTATTTAAGGCTTAGAACTATTAAATTCAGGTTTAACTCTATTTAAGGCTTAGCACTACTAAATTCAAGTTCAACTGTATTTAAGGCTTAGCACTATTAAATACAGGTTTAACTGTATTTAAGGCTTAGCACTATTAAATACAGGTTTAACTGTATTTAAGGCTTAGCACTATTAAGTTCCAGTTTAAGTCTATTTAAGGCTTAGCAATATTAAGTTCAGGTTTAACCCTATTTAAGGGTTAGCACTATTAAGTTCAGGTTTGACCTTATTTAAGGCTTAGCACTGTTAAGTTCAGGTTTAACTCTATTTAAGGCTTAGCACTTTGTTCAGGATTAACACTATTTAAGGCTCAGCACTATTAATTTCAGTTTTAACTCTATTTAAGGCTTAGCACTATTAAGTTCAGGTTTAATTCTATTTAAGGCTTAGCACTATTAAGTTCAGGTTTAATTCTATTTAAGGCTTAGCATTATTAAGTTTAAGTTTAACTCTGTTTAAGGCTTAGAGTTGCTGAACTCATCAGACCCGCGTGGCCGAGACCCAAACAGGTGAGATCACAAAATATCCGACATGTCAGAGCAGGATGCAGGCAGCAGCAGGGGAAGCATTTAATGCGTTTTGACAGCTCTTCAGCTCTGATCTTCTGCCCCCTCAGCCACGCACATCCACCAACCGTTAATAATAGTCGATGGTATAAGCAGTCCAAGCTTAATTAAAAATGTTGGGGTTTTTTCTGGGTTCGGGCCAGTAATTACTGTTAATTCGTCGGATCGGGTGGGGTTTGGAGACGATGGTTACGGGCTGGGGCCAGGTCCGGATTGTTTGGACCCGACTGCAACTCTAGTTGTGACAGTAAGCCTGAGAGTTACCAGAGCCAAGAAAACCGTTACCGGAACACACTGTGTCAAAATAAGAGAATTCCCGGATCCTGTTCTGGCAGGATCCCTCTCAAAATTAAGCCCTGCATACACGAGGCCCAAGAATAAATCACTACAAACTGGAACTAACAAAAACAAACAACAAAAACGCAAAAATAACAGGAACAAACTCGAAGAGACTGAAACAAACAAGACATATCAGGCAAACATGAAGAGTACCTTTATTTCTCATTTGCAGCAGGATCCGGTCTCGGGTGGCAGCGTCTCGTGCATCCACAGCACAGAATGTCCCCTGTCCTCGAGCTCGGCTCAGAACACTGGGGTACTGGGCCTGGGGTCAGAGGGTTGGAGGTTATGTTCATACACACAAACGTTGAATTACAGAACATGGTGTTGTCCCAGATCTCCTATCCACCTTATTCCTGGGGGCTCTACTGTATAAATCCCAGAATCACCAAATGAAAAATGGCCTGACACAGAGAAAAAATTTAGAGAAATTCTAAATGGCAAATTGAAAATCGATCAAAAGCACATTGAAATTGATCGAGCACACCGTCTTGGAAAGCCATTGAAGGATGGTGACAAAAGACCAAGACCAATAATAGTTCAACTCTATAGATATAAAGACGAACAGCTCATCCTGTCTAAAGCAAACAAACTGAAAGGCTCACACATCTACATGAACGAGGATTATTCAGAGGCTGTGCGTCAGAAGCGTAAAGAACTGCTGCCTGAGATGAGAGCGGCAAGAGCAAGAGGAGAACGGGCCTATCTGAATTATGATGGACTCGCAGTGCGAGCCATGAGTGAGCGTCCTACAAGAGAGCGGCATATGGGTTCTAATGAGGAGGATGATCAATAATCTGTTGCCCTGGCATTCAACCATGTTTTTAATTTTCTGTTCCTCTTATGGTAGCTCATGTTCCATGTTCCCCGAAGCAAAAACAAATGAATTTATGTAGTAATTTAACTAGTGATAGTGACCCTCCAAACTTAACATCCAATAATAATTTGTTTTTTCATTCTTTTGAGCCACAAAATGATAAGGTTTATACCTGTTTCAATCCTGATTTATTATTTTCATCAGAATATTCTTCTATAGACCTAAACACCTATGACAGAAACCAGTCTAATATTTATGATCCTTCTTCATGTAATTATTTGAATGAAAATCAGTTCAACTCTTTCTTTTCATCTGGTAAAATGTCCAACACCTTTTCTTCTCTCCACCTTAACATAAGAAGTCTTTCAAAAAAGAATGATCACTTTTACCATTATCCTGCATCACTGAACCATATGTTCACAATAACTGCAGTGAGCGAAACTTGTCTAAATGATGAAATCCATTCACTGTTTAATATTGATGGTTCTACATCTGTTCACCAATGTAGAGGAAGTCGAGGAGGAGGAGTCTCTCTCTATGTTCTAAAGGACCAGGAATTCAAACAGAGACCTGATGTTGAAGAGAAGTTTCATGGCTGTTACACAGAATGTGTTTTTATTGAGGTTCAATCTATGAAAAGAAAATTGATTGTAGGATGTATCTACCATCCTCCTAATATAGACATAAACAACTTCAAAGAATGTCTTACAGAAATCTTAGAACTTGTTGCTAAAGAGGCTAAACTTTGTTATTTATTAGGTGACTTCAATGTCAACCTCTTGAATGAGAACAAACATCACATAGATGACCTTATAGATATTTTGTCTTCAAATTATTTTTATCCCCTCACTTGTAAGCCCACTAGAATAACTCCTCAGTCCTCTACATTGACAATATTTTTACTAATGCATTGACTGATGTTATCAAATCTGGTATTCTTTATACTGATATTTCATAACACCTTCCTGTTTTTCAGTTTTCTTCCATAATTAACAAACAGTCCACAAATAAATCAAAGAGAGATTATTTTAGAAATTTCAATGAAAGTAACATTAACAACTTCTCAGATATACGAGCAAACATGTCTTGGGAAACAGTATATGAAGTTTCTGATGTGAATGTGGCCTATAAAATATTTTATGCAAAATTTCATTCAGTTTTTGACAAATGTTTTCCTCTGATGTCTAAAGGTAAAGGAAGTTCTGTAAAATTTAACAAACCAGAACTTAGGAAATCTGTTTTAAAGAAAAATAAGTTATATAAAAGATATTTGCAAAACCCAAGTCCTTTAAATTTAGCAACATACAAAAAGCATTGGAATAATTATCATCACCTCATTAGAAATACTAAATGAAATTACTGTAGCGATCTATTTACAAATCACAAAACGAGCATTACACTTTAAATCAAAGCTAAACTTTAATTCAAAGCTAAAAATAATCTGTATACAAGATAAAATAATCTGTATACAAGAAACGAAACCACAATGAGTGCAAATACATCAAATGATGAAGAAAAATATAGAATTTTAAATATAGATATCCTGATGCATGCTCACTAATCCAGGTAGAAAAATCTAAAAAAGTTAAGTCTGGTCCTCTGGACGGTCAAAAAACAAACAAAAAAAATGTAGAAATGTTTCTTCTTTCATCCGAAAGACTTCTTCAGTCTGAGGTGCTGTATTCAGCTCAGTCTTATATAAACAGCTATGAGATGAATACAGCACCTCAGACTGAAGAAGTCTTTCGGATGAACGTTTCTACATTTTTTAAATTTTTTTTGGTTTGTTTTTTGAATGTCCAGAGGACCAGACTTAACCTCTTTTAGATTTAAATATAAATGTTTTTGTAGAATCTGGTTCATCAGATTTAATTCAGTTCAGTTTATTTATACAGCGCCAAGTTACAACAGAAGTCGTGTTGGGGCACTGAACAGAAACATTCATATATAAAAATAATAATTTAGTATTATTTATCTGAGGAGCAGACTGCTTTGAGTAACTCATCGCAGAACTCTCATTAGCAGGACTTGGATTCTGGACACGCCTCCAGAATTGGTCCTAAAGTGCAGGTGCAAATCCAGGCTGAGTAAGGGTGTGCAGGGCTGAGCAGAGTTGGGACTGATTAGGGGCAGTGCAAAAGGGGCATAACTAATGGATATATGTAAAAAAGGACTATCCCAGCTTGGCTGACAGGGCACTGAAATGCCTTCTCCCTTTTGCAACAACTTACTTGTGAGTCTGGTTTTTCAACTTTAAAGGTACTCAAAACAAAACATAGAGCATGTCAACACGTGGACAATGACATGCGTATGGCACTGACAGACATTAAGCCCAGGCTTGACAAACTGTGTAAGAGCCACTGTTGTGCTTTCCCGAGTGAGGTAGACACAGGACACGTGCCACACCCTCACTGCAGCCTATCTCCTCCAAGGGATCTAAAACTAATCCTGAGACTCAGGTATTACCTGCAGCTGATTTTCCAGGACAGTCTAGTTCAAGGCTGTATGGAGATGATTCACCCAGACTGTTAACTACCTCCGATCCTTGCACCACACCCAAAGTCTCACCTCGTGCCTCACCCGACCTAGCAGCAGGAGTGGGGACGTTTAGCAGACGAGGAAGCGCAAGTTAACGGTAGCTCATCTCCTGATTTAGCGTTGCAATTGTTAACCGATCTGGCTTTGTTTAGAGTCTAGGCGCTAGACTCTTGGATGTTTTTTTTTATAATCAAAAGCTAATAAAACCGTTTGAAGCCTCCCATGCTTCTGTTGTTTCTCTGAACCAAGTTTTCCACTTCTAAGAACAAAGGGGGTGATGAAATAAGAATCCAGATTTTTACGTTTTGCTTTGCTTTTAATCAATAATTTTTGCAGGGGAACAGCGGTATGCACAGTAATGATTACATTCGATTACAAAGAGGTTACATAATGAATAATATTCACTCCTTAGTCACTTTCCAGTTGTTGACCTTTCCTGGGCAAGGTAGATTTCTGTCCCTGTGGAGGGCTTGAGGATGGCTCGTGGACTCCACTCTGCTCGGCCTCGGATGTCTTTTGTACAGCCGGCCACGCCCTGACTCACTCAGGAGCACCAGTATCCACACAGTTTACCTACACTCTCTACCTGACCCAATACGTTATTTCTCACTGCAATGAAGACCTTTCTGCAACTCTGAACAACCAGGTTTATAATATAATTGATATTTCTACTTGCCAATACATGCACTGCTGTTTTAATTTGTAATAAGGTTTTATTTAGGACTAAGTTTGTGAAACGTCTTCTTACCATTTTACTGATTTTAGCAAGAAGCAGATTTCCCCATCCCCTCTTGGATGTGGGCCGTTTCTGGTCTTTTCCAGCTGGTCTGAATTTGAAGAAAAGGATTCAGGAATAATCCAGGCTGAAGGTAGATAAATAGCTCCAAACGAAGCGTATTCCAACGGATTCACCCTTATACTTCCTCAGCTGAGACCGTCCAAAACTTGTCCTATTAATCCACAATCGTCCCATGGTCCAAACAGGTCCTGTTCGTTACATCCACACACGAGTAGTGGTCCCCAACAGCAGAGGTTTTACAGAGACATCTGTTTTTATAGCCTGAGGATTTGACTGACACTTCCAAACCGATCATGCCATCGGACAAACCCAACCTTTTTTTGGCTGAGCTTAGGTCCGATTTTCAGGCTCATCTATGAGGATTTGCCAGTCATTCCTCATGCATATTAAAATCTGGGTGTACTTGTTCAATTGTGCTTAGTCATTCTGAGTGTAAGAGTACCACTGCCTGCAGCTCCTCCTCCAAGATGGCCACTAATCGCCCACACCTGACGGCCATCAGACTGAGGAGGCGCCCCTGCTACAAAAGGCTGCAGTCCAGTGCTACTCTTCGCTGGAGCATATCACCTTCCATGGTAGTTGTGCTTCAAGCCTTTTAGGCTAATACCCACAAGTACTAACCTTACTCTCTTGTTTCCAGTGTTTTCCTGGTTCCTCGGCTTGTTAAAAGGACCCCTCGTGATCCGTTGGTTTCTGGACTCCTCGTGTCCTGTTCCTGGTCCCTTGGACTCCCTCGTGGCCAGCTCTTGGTTTGTAGACCCCCTTGGATCCCTCCTTGGTTCAATTACCCTCGTGCCTGGATCTCCCTCGCCTGGTGCTTCTAATCCAGACAGTGCCTGCCCTGCCAGCTACTGGACTCTCTCTGGACTCTCTGGAGCTCTCGTGGACAGGAGGATTGGAACCCTCCTCTGGACCAAACTGTAAGAGATTCACAGAACACAAAATAACTATCTCTTAAGAACTCTACCATCGTTCTGACTGTTCCTCCTCTACCTCCTCCAGGAGCTGCAGAGAAGTTGCACCAGTACTGTATATATCACCTGTAAATAAACACTGTTCTTTTGTATCCACCTGAGTCTGTCTCGTTCCGGGTCTCATACGAATCTGGGTT